AACATCCTGCGTTTAGAAGAAAATGAAGCAGATGACAATTTTTTCTACATTTATGCTGGACAAGCCCCAGACTCCTCCTCTCTTCTCACATGCATACACAGGCAAAAGCATGATCAAAACATACAAAAAGTAAAGATAAAAGGATGAAACTGGAAATAATGAATAACTATCACTACGGTTTTACTCCCAAAGTTTCCCTTAGTCTAATACATCCAACTTTTTTACTTATATCATTTTACTGAGAAATATAAATCAAAGAATTACAGTGAAATAATAACTTTAGCAAAGATCAAGCATTTACAAGTGCATATCACAGTACATGTACTGCTACATAGCTCAGCTTCAATGACATCCTGTTCGAAAATCCTCTATTTCGAGTGTGAGATGGGAAGGAAATATGCTTTACAAAGGAAAGCACCTAGTCAAGGAAAACTGCAATTGAAGAGTCCCTCTCCAGTGAACAGCCATCCTTGTACTCTACCACTTGTACTCTACCACTCGCAACTTTGTCTTCAAAGACATCAACTAGTAACGAGATTTAGTCTACATAACATCATACCTTACTTGCCTCTGAGTTAAAACAGAAACAGGGATTCAGCTAGGGGAACTGCCACAGTTCACATGAATGGAGCTGTGATCAGACAACCCAACAGCTGCACGGCAATTTTAATAGTAATAAAATTTTTAGATTCTCCTTTTTTGGAACTTAAATTCTGAAGACACCCTTAGATTTCATTTATGTTGAACAATTTATTTTGTAACTATCTGTATGGTAGGGTTTCAGTAATCCCAAGGTAAAACCAGTGAATGCATACACACCCATCATCCAAGCAACCATGTACAATGTAAGCCAAACAAGCCTTCTACAAGAGTTTCTATAAGGAAGACTGCATCAGCTGACAGATGATTGGATATTTAAGGAAGGGCACTGGCCATCCCTAGACATTATGCTCCAAAACTAGAGTGTGTGAACTTATATACACATCTTAAAAAAAGAAATCTGTCTATAACAGATTCTGGTGAATAATATTGGTCCATACTGTAAATAAATGTACATTCAAATCTCACCCCTAACAACATTTAAACAAAACCTCAAACAAACAAACAAAAAGACTAGACTATTATAGTTTTTTATTATTCTCCGAATTATAAATCCACATAAACCGACAGAAATCAGAAAAATATCGCGTGCATGTTCACTGTTCCTAAAATTAAAGGATAACTAAGACCGGACATGACCTCAAAAGGGGTCTCTAGTCCAACCTCATGCTCCAAGCAGTGTTCAGGTATGGGGTCAGGGCCAGGTTGCTTAGGGCTGGTCTTGAAAACCGCAAGGAAAAGAGGCTGCACAACCACATTGGGCAACCTATTCCAGAGCTTCACTGTCCTGCATCAGAAAAGTATTAACTAGGCATGAAAAAGAAACAAGGATATATGTTGAAAAAGAAACTGTCTTGCTGTTCTCTGTGCTTATCCAATTAGACATCAGTGTGATACCTTGCATAATTTTGATGCTGTTAACTGAAAATGGTAAAATCATCTAAGACAAATCTGATCATCTGCATTTGCATGAAGCAAGCCTTTCTTTAGGTTTTTTTTCCCTTTTCTGTAACTTGGATAAAAACTGCAGACCACTGGAAAAGAAAATTACTTGTACAACAATCAACACTGTTAGAATTAAAAACCTTTTCCCAATGGCTACACAGCATTTTCCTTACTTCACTTTCAGCTCATTGCTTTATACTCACTACAGACACAGCAAATATACCACTTTCTTCCTCTTTACAGCAGTGTTATGTATTTGACGACTGTTTACATACTTCTTTTCAGCTGACTCTAAGTAATCTTTGTTCATACCATCATTCCTCAAAGGTTGTATGCTCCTGAGCACCAGCCATTCTCAGTGCTCTCAAAATGCTTTAAGTTGAAGCCCTACCAGTACCAAATAGGACTATTTGATCAGTGTTGCAGACAATATTTCACTTTAAAACATCCTAAAGTCTTTCATAAAGACTGCATTTATGTGTGCTCAGCTTCTCCTCCAAACAACCCTCAGGTTTTAATTTCTGAGTAGATACTTTTTGATTTGGTTTTTTTTGCAGCTCATTTTTTCTCCCCCACAGGTAGCTCCTTGCACTTGTTACTTCTGCATTGGATTCTTTTTTTTTTTTTTTTTTCAGGCTACATTTCTGATTAAGATCATTCTGAATTTTAAAGCTTTCTTCTACTTACCATCAGTCCTTCCCTCCTGCCTATAATTATAAAGTCTGATACTCATCCTTTCTATCCTGTACCATAAAATTACAATTCTGAACAGATTACAATTAACTACAATTAGATTGAGGATAGATCCATATGATAAAGTCTGACTTCCTAGCAGCAAACCAATGAAAACTGCTCTCGGCATATACTTTTTCAGTCATGCTATAGAAGGGTAGACCAATGTTTTTGTTAGAGCTATTAGACTAACACATAAGACAATGTCATTATCTAAGTAACAAAAAGAAAACAGAATACAAAGGAGAATTTAAATAATATTTACAGCAAGAGTATATTTCCCATGGAGGAAAAACTTCCAGCATAACACCTCCACACACAGTCTGTAGCTTCCTTTACCACTACTGGCTTCTGTAAGAGCAAACCAAGTTCAACCAAGACCAAAAAAAAGGAGGAAGGCAAAACAAGACTTCTGGATTCCTCAAAGAGAACCAAGCATGACAAAGAAAGCTTTAAACTGCCTAAAGAATCTCCCTTAATAGTTTAAATTATGGATGGTTCCTCTAATTTACATACAGTCATTCACTTTCACCTCAGTTGCCTACATCTCTCTGGTGGGCCCAGAATTTGCTCTGGCAAAGTAGCATGTGGTACAGTAAAAGCCATGGTCAACTTGTTTGGTTTGATGAACCAAGAAGTATAAGACTGAATTGGTTTCAAGCATTCAATCCAATGGAATTATATGGTCACCAAAACAAAAATATAGGATTGTTCATTTTAATGTGCTTCTACAGAGTTTGGAATGCAAATATCCCATGTTTAGGCAGCTGTGTCTCATGCTAGGTGATACGCAAGACATGGCATGCAAATACTATCTTGTTCCTTAATATGCAATATGAAGCAGTTTTTTGTATTAGGAAAAAAATCAAATTTAGGTTCCAAGATTTTTAATCATGTTTTTTTTTATGCAAAAATTATTACAAGTATTTTATTTTGTGATGCTATGTTAAAATGCAAAGCTGTTGATACATTTTTAATGCTGGAGTTCAGTAACTGGAAACTCGCAATTGTTGTTCTTTAGTAATTATTTGAATTAAGGCTAAATTGACTAACTGCTAAAGCCCAGGCTGAGACTTACTTCCTATAGCCTAAACCACACTACTTCCTCACAAGTCATGATGTGTAGCTTCTCATGAGACTGCCCTAAATTATTCTTGAGTAATCACTGGCAAATAAAGATCCTTCCACTTGTTTATTTTCCTTTTATTTTAAGGATAGCTGAATACATTATTAATAGTTACACTGGAAAGACTTTTAAATTGATCCAAATGTGCTGACTCAGCTTCCACATAACAAAAATGTGACTACCACTGGTTGGGTCATTTTATCTGTCTTAAAATAAAGGAAATCAAGCAAAGAGAGTGGCAGCAACAGCTGGAACTGTGTGTCTGTGTCCAAACACAATTTACTCATAAAACTCGGGCAAAGCACAGCACAGCTGCACAGCAATTATGACAAAAAAAAAAAAAAAAAGAAAAAAATCCGCAAGCCCTTCAGAACTGCTGAATAATGATACCACCAAGGAAGTAAGATCTGTTGGTGGAGTTACAAACACTCAAGCTTAACAAGTGGGTTTTTTCAGAGGCTGAATCTTCACATTATAAATGCTTGTTGCTATGGATTCTGGTTTTTACTTCTGATACATTTTCCTTCCTGGTTACCAGAACACTTTCTTCTAAAAAAACCCTCATAGATCTTAAAACTGCTTAAATTTTGTTAATCCGTAGCATGCTTTCTTTAAAAATATGAACACTGTAAAGCTGGCTGTCACTTTTGAAGAGTGGGTGAGTGAATATATCCATTTCCAAAACAGCCCTACTCACAGATATAGTGCACATTTTAAATTCAGCCACCTATTCTCCATTTTCTTCATTCAAAATATCACCAGAATAGCAGTACGTGTTGTTCTTCATCTTTATAAGCACACAAAAGCAGAAACGCTTGTCTGCCCCTTTTTCAGACAGTCAGCTGAAGCACAGAGAAACTTTCTATAAACCGAGAGTCTTAATTCAGGTTGCCTAATCCAAATCAACCAAAAATAGCGAAAAAGCAGTAATCAGTCAGCAACATGGTTAGGAGCTGAAGTTTCAACATAAACTATCACCATCATTACCTTAATTCCTACTAGGTAATCAAAGATCAGGTGTTTTCCTTCCACTTGTCCCTCAACACATACTTGCCTTTGAAGTATACAAATGGAAATTAACCTTTCTAAATTAGCAGTCAGTTATGCTGTAGCAAATGTAAAATTTTGGTATTGCAGTAAAATTCTGCTCTTAGGAAAAAATGTGTAAAACATTTACTGCTTACAATCAACACAGGAAATTGTAAAAAAGTACATTTTTAATGTACAAAAGCAGTAATTAAGTACTATAAATACCTACACATCATCTTATGATACATTTCATGCTGTATAAACAAACATTTACTAGTTACCATAGAAACAAGAGAGCAGTAAACATTCCTGGAGTCTAGTGGCTATGGTTCTGTTAGGCTTCGTTATTCAATCTTTTCTTAAAAAAATCAAGTATTTCTAAAAGAAGCACTGATCTCACTGATTAGCATGCATAAAAAGTCTTTGTTCTTAAGCATTTGCATAGCAAAATAATAAGAATTTTATTCATGAAAGAGTCAAGGAACACATTCAGAAAAAAGCTCTGCTTGTTTGGCCTTATATGAAATTGTTAAGTTGAAAAAATTGTGACATGGACAAAATAATTTACCTTTTCTCCTTCTTCACCTTTACCACCAGGAAAGCCACGCTCACCCTGGAACAAAAAAAAAAAAAAAGTTAAAAATCTCAAACCTAAACATTCTCCAAATAATTTAATTCTTTAAAATAGTTTTATTGCACTGGGTTTTATTATGGGATTAAAACAGAAGAAATTATTTAGATACTGATTGTCGCTCATTCAAAAAGGTGTGAAACCTCTGTGAAAAACCTCTATGAAAAATAGCCATGTTTTTCCACTGTTTTGTGGATTAACAGTCAAACATTTTTTCCATTCAGCCTAAGTAATCTTCTTGGATTCTTGTCCTGACACTGACACTAAACTTGCTTGTTACAGTCCTTCTGTTCTTCTGCAGAACCAGTTTTAATACATTTTTTGCTATTAATAACTTCATTTTAATTTTGAAAAATGACTAGTCAGCTGTGAAGGTCCATGAAACCCAGAACAATTCAAAAAAAGCTACAGATATAATTTACAGAAAGTGCATTCCTTTCACTTTAAAACCCATATCTAACTACTAAAAAACCACCCCAACAGATAAACAGACAAACAAAAAGACAAAAACAAACAACACACAACAAAAAAAAAAACACAGGAGTGAATTTTGAAATATTAACTCAAGCTCATCAGATTAAACTATTTATTTGATAATTTTTCAATAAAAAGACCTGTAATAATGTTCCAGCTCCAATTTGATAATCTACTTGGTAGATACTGCTTGGTATCTTGCAAACGTCCAAGTAGCTTAAGCGCTCCTTAACACTGTCTTCCCCTTCAGTGCGCAATGGTACATTCTCATACACTCTGCTAGGAGATTTAAGTAATCTGGGAGGCCTGAAGGCAAACTTTGTTAGTGAAAACCAAAGCAAAAAACCCATCAGGTACACTCAGTCTTTTCCACATCCCCCACCCCATTAAGGAGTGGGTCAACATTTTCTTCAGCCTCATTTTTTAACTACAGATGCAGTTAACAGAAGCCCTTTATGCTGAACTTCAAATCCCTTATTAGTTGCAATTCCAGATGAATTTTTGGCTGGAAGCCAGCTGGGCTTCTTATGTCTGCAGGACAGTCGCGATCACTCCTTGGACACCTCTTTGCCAGATTCAACAAAGTACTTTGAAACTCTCCTCAAAGGTCTTGTTTTCTAAGCCCCTGAACATACCCTAGCTCCCTGTGGACCCCCTCTGGTTTCTCTACACCTCTTAAAGTATTAAGGGTGAAAGCCCCTCACCCCTTGCCAAACATGACACAGCATTCCAGATGCAGCACCACCAAGCAAAGGGGGAAAATATCTTCCCCTGATCTGCCAGCTTCAGTTTTTACTATCATTGTCCAATATGTGGTTCACTTTCTCCCCAGTAGGAGAGAAAGTGAACCACTGTTAGCACATAATTCAGCCTCATGTCAACCTCCAGGTCATTTTCAGAAATGGTACTGCTCAACCAGTATGTTCTCTGCCTGTACCTAAGTATGGGGCGATAAAGTAACTTCTCTTTTTTTTCAGAAAGTGTCCAGATTTTCTGCACAGATTTAAATTTAAAATAAATATTACAAATTAGAGGGAATAAGAAATACAGTCAACAGAAAGCATAGAGAAAGTAGTTTAGGTAATTTCCACTTGACAGTATTAACAATATTAGCCACTGGTAAGTTACTTCAAGGCATCTGAATGTTGCAGAAATAAAAACGTGGATGTTGCAAAATAACACAATTATGACTGACCTTAATTCTCTTCTCTGTGGCAGAATTCTCATAGTAAGTTAGGAAAAACATTTCACACAAGCTTTTTCATGGGAAATCACTGATTACTTGTCCTGATACTGCAGGATTGTTGATCTGACTTTCAATGTTTTAAATATGCCTGCAGTAAAAGTCAATGAAATCCTGGCTTCGAATTTATAAATTGATAGATTGTGGTAAGCATGTTGCAGAACTTAGTGCTGGCTACCTCATATGCAGAAAAGTTCCTTCCTTCCCTCCGTGCTGTATTACAGGAAATATCTGCCTAAATATACAGAAATCAGGCCTTTGCATCAAGGTCACGCTGCAGAGCACTTTCTTGAAATTTTAGTATGAAGAAAATAATGTGGAGTTTTATGTGTAGTCCCTTAATTTGTGGAAGCAGCAGAACTATTTCCCCTCCAATTTTCTAAAAGGAATTAGCTGGGCAGACATATGTGACATTGAGGCTTCATTCCAAATACTTAGGGTTAAACACAGCTGCAACCAACAGAAAACAAAATCTGGCCATGAAAAGACTAAGGCAGCTTGAACAAATATTACCAGCAAGGTTTATAATACAGATGTCACTTTTTGCAAGTTCTGTCCTTCCCACAATATTCCACCTCTAAAGAGGAGCAAAAGATTCAAATGCAAGACAGGAAGCAGCAGCGCCATCCCTCATCTCATTTTGCTGAGATCATGAGACTCTCAAATTTGGAATTTTTGAATCTGCTACCTTGTGGCTGGAAAGACCTGCACAGTTCTGAGGCTTAGGCAACTGCTCTTAATGCAAAATGATGCTGATAGGCAGGTTTTTAGAAACTGATAGTAAAGTTCCTCTGTCACATTATACAACTCACAAATTGGATATGTAAGTTAAGTGCAATTTATGTAGATACTGGACAGCTGGCAAAAAGGATGTTGAGAGTGAAAATGCAGAAAATTAGACTGTTTTTTTGTTGTAGGTGGTGGTTTATTTATTTCTTTTACCTTGGAACCAGTAAGACCAGGTATGCCAGGAGCACCTACTAAGCCAGCTTCCCCCTGAAACAAAATGTACATAGCCATCATATTACAGACCTAACTCACGAGTGAGCTAAATTAAGAGAAAAAGACATCTAGACATGCACTGCTTCTCGTTCCTTTTCTACAGAAGAGTTGAATTATCTCTAGGTTTGTTTATGTCTGGTGACTTGTATTTGGTTAAAATACATTTCACTTTCAAAATATTATGTAATTAACAATTACAGGCTATTTAATTATGCAGCAGCTGTAGGTTGCTTCAGTTTGGATCCCATGAGAATCTTTCTTAAGTTTTATTTCAGGCCCTGATTCAGAAAAAAATATTTCAGGGGACTCTTGCATACTACTCAAGTACCTAAAATCCCAAGGGTGCCACATCTTCCAGTCTCTCCCTAAGTCTTATTAGGTACTTGAGACCACAAGGATCCATGCTTAAATTGCTAGGTCCCACAGGGAGTTGTACATACTAAGCTGACTGCTGGTTTCTAGGTTCTGCTCAAAGCGGGGTTTCGTATCTTTCCCCAGCCTATTTGGCAGGAGGAAATGCAAATCTTGATCCTATGCAATGAGGCAGACAAAAATTTGTTTCTCCTGCTTCCTAAGTGCATGTTCTGTGCATGTTCTTAAATTACCGCCTCCTCTACCCCAAGAACAAAATAAGTCAGCTATATGGTCGACTGTTAGTCATTCCCTGACCCACAAATGACTTTCTCCTTGCATTGCCCATGAAAATTAATCTGATTTGGGTTTGTAAATTCCATTCAGGAAACCAGATACTTAAAAGTTTTGCTCAACAAATAAGCATAAGTAAAAACAAAAACCTTGTTAATAAAAAAAGTTTTTAAAGGTAACTATCCAAGCTGAGTAACATGGTAAACTTCATCTTCAATATCTGAATAAGGACAAGTTGAGTAAAAGAGAAAAATACAAATCAACAAGTCTGAATTGAAAGCTATAGACAATGCAATTCTGCATTTACTACAGGGACTTCTAAGAAAAGATATAGTTAAAAACCTACTATTATCTTGTTTAAATTAAAACATAAAATATTGCAGCAGTTTCCTTTTCCATTCCTTCTTGGCAAAGCATATTAAACAGTTACAGACCTAGTGAGAACTAGGCTGTGACACTGAAAGCTAAGAGCCACCCTCTATCTACATGAAATATGCCACAGTGAAGTACATTAATTTTGGTCTCAATAAATCTAAAGTTACTGACCTAAATTCTAATAGAATTCACCCTTGTTCATATTACTTCAAGTGGGAGCTTAGAAGACTTATTAAAGGAATCTAAAATCAAATGCTTTCTCCATTCAATTCATGGGTGTTAATCCCTGGACAGAAGTTTGCCCTTGTAACTCACACACTATCCAATTCAGTTATCTAGCCAAGCCAGGATTCAGCCACAAAAGAAAGTTTTGAAAGTTCACTTGTTTGATTCCAAGCCAAGCAGAAGACGAATGCCTCCCAGACACACAAAAAAGAACAGAGACAAAGGAAAAACTCCAATCTCTCTTAACAAGAGAAAGAGACAATAAAAGAACAATTACTCATCAAAATGATACAAGTAATTAAGCAAATAAATACAAAGCACTGATGATTTACAGCAATTAAAATACAGCTTAAAATAGCTTCTTAAAATGGAATTTTTCTAACTCCAGTCATGATAGAGTTTCCAACATCTTCATTCCAGCTCCCCTCTGTAAAAATAGATGATAGCATGCTGGGGTAAAAATCTAATTAATCGTTACAAGTAATCCTTAGCCCTTCATTTTCTCGAGATTTACAGCATGAATTCAGAAAATTTTTTCATCATTAATATTTACCCGATAATATTTCACCTTTGCTGCTATATCAGAGCACTGTAAACTAGAAAAAAAAAACCCCACATTCACTGTTGTGGTTTGTTGTTGGATTTTTTTTGTGGAGACAAGCTATAGATGTTTTGCCTTGCACTGTTTAATCAGCGAATATAAATGCTTATCCCTTCAACACAATGCAAAAATAACCTCCTAGATCAATACTGATTCTTATAAAATCTAAAATGATTGATATTGCGGTTTCTTTAACTATTCGGGAAATTAGCAGTGTATTTATAATCAAGTTTTTAATATATTTATCATTTATTGATTATGCAGTTTGTAATTATAATGCAACACCCTATAAAATTAGAGATTCAGTTTATACCTAAGGGTTTTTAAGTTAGAGTAAGACACTGTGTATCTGTGTACATAGAAACTTTCTTCGAATGCATTTACATTCATTTTTAACACCCTGATTTCCACATTTAGGTATTTTTAGCCCCTAAATAAGAGACTTCCAGATTAAAAAAAAAGAGGCTATCTTAACATACAAATATGTGACCTTTATTAGGTGCCCTGGACACATGCACTGCCAAACAGTAGGGTGCCAAAAATTAATTAGGCAGCACATTATCTAATCACAAAAAAAAAATAATAATAAATTGAGAGAACCTGTTATCAATAACTGGGAACATGTTTTGGTATTTGGAACATTTTAGGCATTAATATGATTTATATTGGCCAACATGCCGGCGCGTCATGATATTCTCTTCAAGGCTGGGAAAGAGAAATCATTTCTGTAAAATACTTTATGCATCTTGCAGATACGGTTTTGCAAAATTAAAGCAAAACAAATAAAACAAAAAAAAAACCCACCCGAAACCCACCAAGAAACAGTCAGATGCTTCTGCAACCTCGAGATGAAAACCAAACATTTTCCTCTTTATTTTTAAATTTACTAGAGCACTGCCAGGAGCTTGATTTACAGAATAGTCTTGATACTCCAAGGTTACTAGGAAGGAAACTCATCTCAATAGAAGTAAAATCAGCATGGTCAAACACTACTTATTGTTTTGATAATTTATGGATATGTGCCTTCCATTACCCTGAGTCTGCCAGACCCCTGGAATAATCTAATAGGCCCGTATTTTAAAATGAGGGCAACTATTTTTTGCAGAAATGGAGTGTAATGTTCAAGAATGTACTATCAGAGGGCTTGAGCAGCATCCCCCTGTGAAGCACATACCAAGCCAGTCCAGAGCCACCAGCAAGGGCAGAGCTTTGTCTTTAACAAATAAAAATCCCACACCAATTACACTCCATTATGTGACACCTTCCTTAGCCTACTAGAATATTTCCTTATTTCTTTAATCAGGCTCCTGTAAAAGGTTAGGATCACCTGATAGAATATTAATGACATAAAAATATATTCAGCTGATATTTGCCAAGACTTGCCCCATGAATCTCCTAGATTAGTCATGAGTTTCTGCTAACATGACATTTTGGGTCCTAATTATCCTTTCGATCCCACTTGGTTACTGCTGAATTACCAATATACTTGCTGAGTACTTGCTTAGTTCTATCCTTGAGCCATGTGAGCAAGCATAAAATCCTCTCTTGAAATAACCTGATGAAGGGCTTGTGACAGGTATATTGTTTCCTTTGCTCTGTCCTGCTTCAAGAGGACAAGCAGCTCCAGCAGAGCAGGAACATCACGGTTTGGCCAAAGGGGTGAGGGCTGGTCAGAGGACTCTTGTGTCTTTGTGATCAGGGCTCCTGTGGCTTTTTTGCACAGCTGCTCAAGAGAAAGGCCAATAAGAAAGCCCTACAGTACTCAATTGCATCTCATAATATAATCTGAGATCAGGAGGTATCCATTTTTCCTCCTTCCCAAACCTTCCTGATACCCACCTTCAGGACAAGGCTGACCAGCCTATCTGTTCAGGCAACTAGACATTAATGCATTCTGAATTAAACACTTGAAAATGTAGGTTTTGGTGCTTTGCAAACTAATGAATCAGCAGCCAGACACAGCTCAGAGGTTCAAAGAACATGGCCGCAGTGCTCCTTACTCCAGACTGCGCTCTCTTTAGTTGGCATTGTTTCCTTTTGTACTAATTAGCATGTCTTACAAAGCAGGCAATTCACACAATTTCTATACTCAAATACATAGAGCACTCATTTCACAAATGAAACACATAAGACAAAACTTTGTGTCTATATTTTGCTCTCACAAATTATTTAGACATGACATGAGAACTCAGAGAAGTTGTTCTGAAAAAACTAGGATGAAAAGATCACTCCATTTGTTTTCATGCATAACTACAGGCTGTAGGCTGGCATACTGCCTTTTTTTATTTTAGTTTTGAAATCTGACAACGAACTGACCGAAGCCTTTATGATAGATGCCGAGGAGCTGTTTTTATACCCTCAAGAAAAGTATGAGCAGAAAAAGAGCCTCTATTGTCAGTAGGCGTACTTTCTGCATTTAGCAAAACACAAGTGGAATTCACTGCTAACACATGTCCTTGAAGAAGTGACAACTGCTTCCTTCTTGACCACCTTCATCAAGAATCATTAAATTGTTTAGGTTGAAAAAGACCTTTAAGGTCATCAAGTCCAACCATTAACATAGCACTCCCAAGTCAGCCACTAAACCATGTCCCTAAGTGCCATGTCTACATGTCTTAAATACCTCTAAGGATGGTGACTCAGTAACTTCCCTGGGCAGTCTGTTCCAATGTTTGACAACCCTTTCTGTGAAGAATTTTTTCCTTCCCTGGAAAAATTTAAACCTCCTTTGGCACAATTTGAAGCTGTTTCCTCTTGACCTATTACTTCTTACTTGGGAGAAGAGACCGACACCCACTTCTCTACAACCTTTCAGGTAGCTGTAGTGAGTGAAAGGTCTCCCCCAAGACTCCTTTCTTCAGCCTGAACAAACCCAGTTCCCCCAGCTCTAAACTTGTGCTCTCAAACCTTCACCAGCTTTGTTGTTTTTCTTTGGACACACTCCAGTACTTCAATGTCTCTCTTGTACTGACAGGCGAAACTGAACACAGTATTCAAGGTACAGCCTCACCAGTGCTGAGTACAAGGGAATGATCACTTCCCCAGCTGTGTCACCTGAAGCAACACAGTAGAAAAAATTTGGAAGTGATGTTGTACTCGTGGACAACTAATTGATTTTTGTAACTGTCTTTTCTCCCTTACAGTAGGT